ACCCGTTGGTATTTACCCAAATGAGTTGAAAATTAATGTCCACACAAAAACCTGTAGTCAAGCAAGAGGAGTAAGCTCTAGAGATCTGATGTTCAACACTGTACCTATAGTCAACAATAACATACATGTAAACATTTGTCAAGAGGGTCTATGTCATGTTAAGAGTTCTCATCACAATAAAATAAAAGAAAGAAAATGGCCAATATTAAAAACAAAGCCCTTCACATGAATGTATAGCGGCATTATTTATAATTGTCAAAACTTGGAAGATGTCCTTCAATAGGTGACTGGATAAACAGATACACTGGGGTGCATCCAAACAATAGAATATTATTTAGCACTAAAAAGAAATGAACTATTAGACATGAAAAGACATGGAGGAAACTTAAATGCATATTAAAAGAAGGCAATCTGAAAATGCCAGTCTACATACTGCATGATTTCAACTACGTGACATTCTATACATAAAATTATAAAGACATTACAAAAAAATCAGTGGTTGCCATGGGTTCTGGAAGAGAGAAGAAGGGATGAATATGTGGAACACAGGGGATCTGGGGGTGAACTATTCTATACAATAATGTAACTAATGGTGGATACATGTCACTACACATTGTCAAATGCACATAAAATGTACAATACAAAGAATGAACTCTAATAACAATGTATCAAAATTGGTTCACCAATTGTAACAAATGTACCGCCAATACCAGATGTTAATGGGGAATGGGGGAAAGTTATATGGAAACTCTGTGTATTTTCTGCTCAACTTTTCTTTAAACCTAAAACTGCCCCCCCCCAAACTAAGTTTATTAATTAAAAACAAAACAAATAGAAAAGGGCAACATGGAAAAAAGCAGTGGTTAAGTGCATAGGTTTTGGAGTCTGTTTACATTGTGTTTGAATTCATTAACAGCAACAAAACATTCAGCGTGTTATTCTAACTCTGCTCACCCCATCAGCTCTAAAGTTTATGGTCAGTCTTTGCCTTGGAAATACTATGATATATGATCTAGTATAACTCTTACAAAAAGCAAGGGGCTAATACATATTTGATAACTAAATAGATATCTTCCTAGTTACAATTTTCACTGTAATTTGCAGGAACCTGCAAATCTGTGGTTTCATTTCCAAAAAGTAACTTGGGTTATACAGCGATAACAATAATAATGAGGCCTTTCCTGGTTTTTAACTTGTCTCTTATAAGGAAGCATCTATCTGCAAATGAACAAGTTTCTTTTTCTTTTAAGATTTTATTTTTAAGTAAACTCTACACCCAATGTAGGGCTTGAACTCACACTCCCGATATAAAGAGTCACATGCTCTACTGACTGAGTCAGCTAGACATCCCAAAAATAAGTTTCTAAATATGGGCTATAACAAATAATTAGTAAAGATCAACAAAGACTTTTACATGGATTTGAAATATACAATAAAATTTACATTTTAATGGACATACTGAACAGTTCAAAATTTTCAATTTTAGGGGTGTCTGGGTGACTCAGTCAGTTAAGCATCCTACTTGATCTCGGCTTAGGTCATGATCTGAGGGTTCATGGGACTGAGCCCGGCCTCGGGCTCTGTGCTGATAGCGCAGAGCCTGATGCTTGGGATTATCTCTTTCTCTGCTCTCCCCTGCTTGTGCGTGCCTGCGCACTCATGTGCTCTCCCTCTCTCAAAGTAAATCAACTTAAAAATTAAAAAACAAGAATTTTCAATTTTAATACATCTTATCCTTCATGACCTTATAAAAATTGTGGGGCAGCTCATCCCCATTTACAGTAGATAAATAGGAATTCAGATGATCCCACTCAAGCTCAGTCTCAATCCTTCCAACATCAGTCAAGCTCTGAGACTATGATCGGATTTGGAATGATTTGTGAATGGAAACTGTGCTGTGATGAAAACAAGATTTTTTTTTTCCTTTCTTTTCTAATTACATGGAGAGATAATTGCCTGGCATAGTCTAATTATTTTTTAGTACCTAATTGCAGAACTAGCATATTTTTATGATTTATTCTTTCCAATAAAATATTTTTTTAAAGCAAAAATCTGGCCTCAGAAAATCAATAAGATTGTGGGAAACAGGAAGGAAAGAGATGTATAGTGGCTCAACTCTAAGGACTTTTAAACACTAAAAAATATCTTGGGGCACCTAGGTGGCTCAGTCGGGTAAGCATCTGACCTTGGCTCAGGTCATGATCTCATGGTTGTGGGTTCAAGCCCCGGGATGGTCTCTGTTCTGACAGCTTGGAGCCTGAAGTCTATTTCAGATTCTGTGTCTCCCTCTCTCTCTCTGCCCTTCTTCCACTTGTGCATGTACTCTCTCTCTCTCAAAAATAAATATTAAAAAAAACGTTTTTGATAATCTTAAAAAAAGAGTGGCAAGGAAACTAATTTTCTCTACTTACAGAGGCATACTAAAAATTTTAATATTGGGAATAATGTTTTAATTATTAGGTAACTTTTCACATATCCTAAATCTTGAAAAAAATGTATCTAAAATACATAAATAAAGATATTACAGGAGAATTCAGTTCTAGAGTTCAGTTCAAATAGAGCATTATCATTATTCAAAAGAATATTTATTAATTATTTGTATTATTAAAAGATATTAAAAATCTTTGTTTTGTGATGAATTGTAGTTTAGTGTATAAAAGTTATCATTTGCTGCTGCAAACTGTTGACCTGGTATCAGACAAAACTAATTCTATTGCTTACATAGCCAGTGGTTTTCTTGAGAATATTTGGAATTGGGTAGTTTGATTTTCCCCAGGGGATAAAAATTAAAAAGTCATGACCTTTACTCTTTTTCTGAAAACAAATCTGGTACTCCACTTTAAACATCTGAACCATTAGGCAACTTGGCTGAATTTTGGTAGAGAAGGTCAAAAAGTCCATTGAACTCATAACATCACTGCCAACACATTTGTGTCCATCTCTTTGTTGCCAGTAGTGCTAACACTGAGCTATGAAAATGGCAATGATTTAAGTATCCATGGAAAATGGAAATGCTGATTGTGGTGGAATTTGGTTAAGGCTTGGCCCAAGAATGGTTTCAGCTAAATTAGGCAGTAGGGTAGATAGCATCTGACTACTTTGATATTCCACAAAACATAAAGCATATCTACACATTAGGTGTAGTAATACATGTATGAGTAACAGGAACTTTAAACAAAATTCTAATTTAACATATGGTAGCCAAATCTGACAAAATTCTACTTTCATAAAATGTACATAATAAGAACATCGTTGAATCTGCAGTATGTATACTTGTTTATTCCATAACCAAAAATTAAATAAAAGATAAAAAAATTAAGACAACTATGAGAAAATTCAAGATTCTGCAGTGAAGTTTTTTGAATTTTTAAACTTTTTTTGTTTTTAAGTAAAACCAACCAAAGACCATTCAACTGCATTATTATTATTATTATTTTTACTTAATAGAAAGGGAAGGTAATGAGGTATTTTCACAAATCATCATGATGGTTCTAGGAGCACCCATAACACGGTAAGCCTCTAAAGTTAATTTTAGACAATGTAGAAAAATTTCTAGCTCCAGATGTAATCTGGTGACTTGGGGCAGCACATGGATGTTAATCATGATGTGACAGATCGGACTTCAAATTCTTAAGAATGGACTAGGCTGGGTGCAAAGACGAAAGTCAGTACACGACCAAGAAGAAAAACTGTGCAAATATTATTTTATCCATTTAAAACAATGCAACATATAACACCTGAGCTATGGGATAAGAGTTTTAGGACCAGGATTTGGGAATATTCGGTTCAGGAGTCCACCAGAGGGTCATGTTTACAAGGTTCCTCAGCCCACGACCTTTAACCTAGTTGGGGCAACTCAATGGAGAGGAATTTAGGGTCCAATACCAGGCGCAGACAACGTGGCCTTCGTCTTAGTTTAACCAGTGAACGCCAGGAGAGCCGGAGGAGAGAGGTAGGTGTCCAGCCGCACCCCCCCACCCCCCCCCCAGGTGTGGCCCTGTCCTTTTCGCCCTGACTCCTCGACCTTCCTCCATTTATCCCCGCCCGGAGTTCTCTCTCACCCGGGCAGGACAGCTTGGCTAGCGGCACCAACATATTCACTGTTCCCAGGACTGTCGGTGGGACACAACGGAAGGGCTGTCTGTGGCTCGCCGCGGGCGCTGGACCTCTAGGCCGCGGGGGGCGCCATCACCTGCCAAGAAGGACCAACACCTCCGCTGAAGTTTGCCTAGAGTTCGGCCCAACACTGTGGCTTCACCGTGTTCCCGCCTCTTTCTCGCTCTGCGCCGGCGCCACGCATGGACGCGATGGCCAGCAGAGACTTCCGGGTCACGTTCCGAAAGAGGAAAAGGAAAGAGACTCTAAGTCCCAGCCCGCCCCCGGCTTCAGGCTGAGGATTGGTTCTGAGTTTGCGTCTCACCAAGGCGTGGTGAGGCCTCCGAGGGCTTGTGAGAGAGACCCACAGATCTGGTAGTGTAACGCGCAAAGCAGTGGGAGGTGGCTCGATGCATACGGCATTCTGGGAGTTGTAGTCCTCTGCTCAAGCGTCTTCTGAGCCTGACTGGAAGTTTGCGCAAGAGCGTTGAGCTACCCAAGGTGAATTAACTGACATATGATTGGCTGTCCCGAAAAAATGACTGGTATCCGCGGATTTGGCTAGAGACCCACTAGTATACTGGGCGGGATTGCGGCTGGGAGGAGGCGGGGCTTCTGGGCGTTGGGCGCGAGCAGTTTGAAAGACTGTTGGTGTCGGTTCGGCTGCTAAGGTCGGATTCCGCAGTACCAGCCCCGCTCAATGGCAAACTCTGAGGACGTGCAGATTTCTTCGCCGCCCCCGCCACCTCCTTCGTCTCCCTCGTCTTCAGACGCCTCGTCAACATCTTCCCCCGGCGTCCCAGTGAGTTTGGGCTGGCCAGTTCCAAGCAGAAGCAGCAGCCGAACAGTGGACCCCCTGGAGGAAGTGGAGCTGCAGATCGGAGACGTGAGTGTTGGTAGACAGGTCCCCACTCAGCCCTTTTTGGAAGACAGACCTTGGCGGTGCAAGGGAGAAAAGGACCAGGAGTCCGCGCACCCAGTCCGGCGCGTCTCGCGCTTCTGCCCTTTCAGAGTATGGGCTGGGGGATGGGTTGAGTAAACTGGCGACCCAAGGCCCTTTGTCCCCCATCTATGAGGATTCCGCCTTTAGATTTAGTGTTCAGGAATAAGGGGTTATCCCTCCACCGCCCCACCCCTATTTTCTTTTAGTCTCGCCTTCTGGTTTCAATCACCCTCTGTAACCTGAAACCGTTCTGCTCTACTGCGCCGACTTGTGCAGGCGGTGTCTGTGCTCTCCTTGTTGCCTGTTGGTGCTTAGAATCAGGCTGTGATTTCTTTCCTTGGGACTTAAGATCCCGCTGCTCTAGTTGGCCACCTGCCAGAGCCAGCTGGCAATGCTATTATTGTCTGTTTTAGGCTTGCTGTGCGCTGGACCCAGTTTGGAGGGATTACTTAACTGCTCTTGTAGTCTAGATTGGGTTTCATTAAAGGTTAGGTCAAAAACCCCTCCCTATGATTGCTAGAATGCATAGTATGGTTTCTGTTGAATTGCGAATTCCCAGTGGCGCGCACACCCACCTACTCACCCATCACCGGAGTTTCAGTATAAAAAGACTCTTGGATGGGTCAAGTGAATGAGGTATGTAGGGTGTGATCCTCCTGGGAGAACTTTGTGGAATAGACCCTGTTGTGCAGACTGGAAACTGGATAATGAACTCGATTATCTTAACAAGTATTTGTTTGTTTGCTTGTTTAAAGATGACTAAAATGGTGAACAAAACAGTGTTTTTGCTGAACAAGACTGGTTTCAAGAGAATATGTAGACTGGACTGCTGATGTGTTAGTGTAGGAACAGTGTTATTCTATATTATAGGTGAAGAAAACATTTCTGTATGCTTGATTTTGTTCATTTTGATTTTGTTCATATATGTCAGCTCAGAGTGTCTATTCTTTGTTGTATATATTTTCATGGTTTAAATAGCGTTCACAGGTAAAATTAGTGGAGCGCTGCCCTTGTTACTAAATATCAGTGAGTTTTTTATTTTTTAGTGAGTTGTTTATGATGAAGTAAGTCTGTAAGTCCTTCTTCAGATAATTCTGGTCCTTAGTGTCAAGGGATCCAAGTCCTCTTGTTGAGTTAAATGAGATTCTAGTGTATTTTTTTTTTTTACTTTCTTTTTTCTTTTTTTCTTTTAAAGATTTTTTTTTTTTTTAAGTAATCTCTACACCCAAAGTGGGACTTGAACTCAACCCCCAGATGAAGAGTTTCATGTTCTATGGACTGAGACAGCTAGGCACCCCTAGTGTATTTTCAGTTAAAAAAAAAAATACTGATTTGTTATGTTTGGTGCATAATGGATGCCTTTCCAGCAGACATATTTCCTCAAAGCTTACTTCATATGAAAGAATTTCTTGGGTTCCCTGAAAGAGCTGGTATTTTCGTTTGAAGATTTTTTTGTTACTTTTAAGGAAAATAACTTAGGCAATGGAGTCAAGGTTTTAAGCTATTTTTAGACTGTTTATAAAATGAGATGAAAATCTTAAAAATAAACTTCTGTTGTTTCTTTTTTCTTTTCTTTCTTCCTTCCTTCCTTCCTTCTTTCTTTCTTTCTCTTTCTTTCTTTCTTTCTTTCTTTCTTTCTTTCTTTCTTTCTTTTTTTTTTTTTTAATTTCAGGCAGCATTTTCATTAACCAAACTTCTTGAAGCCACATCTGCAGTATCAGCTCAAGTGGAAGAGCTTGCCTTCAAATGTACAGAAAATGCACGTTTCCTTAAAACATGGAGGGACCTCTTGAAAGAAGGTTATGATTCTTTGAAGCCTGACAACTGATTTGGCTGTGTAATAATTCCCTCTTCCTCATTGATGATATTTGCACGTGTACCATAAGTATAAGGTAGTCTCCAGTAGTTCTGTGTATTCAGAATGAAATTTTTTTGGTTTCCTTCACTTTTGTGAAAGCAGAATACTGATGTTATATTTGATGTTGGCAATATTTATCTTTAAATACTTTCTGTCCTCTAAACTTTCATAGAATCTTTTATGGAAGTTAATTTCATCAGTGGATATTGTTATCTGTAGTTTTAATGGCAGAAAAAAAAATAGTTAAATCATTATTCTATTTGATTTGTAAGAAGATGCCAAGAATGCCAGAGTTTGAAGTTGAGCTTTATTTTACAGACCTAGGGAGGTAACTTTAAGGCTACCAATGTTGGCCCAGTGCCACTAGGCCAAGGTCCCTGGAACTAATGATTGTGTCTTGTTTATCTCCAGCACCTAGAACAACTGTGTCACACAGCAATCAGTAAATGTTTGTTGAATAAAAGAGTTGACAGTACAGTTAAAAGCTGGTTTTTTTTGTTCCTGTTTTTACCATGAAAATTGTAATTGTTTTTCTAAAAAAGTATTTGACTCAGAACCTCACTGACTTGAAGGAATACAATCTCTCTCTCTTTTTTTTTTTTTACAAGAATTTGAACTTTGAGGACAACTTTTAAAAATATATGATAAATATTGTTTTATCCTTTACGATGCTTTCTAAAAAGCTTTTATTTCAGAAAATGAAAGCCTGTCTAGAAAGAATGTTTATATTTTTTCCTTGTTTATTTCTCAGGTTAACTCTTTTTGATGTTGTTGTATGTTTGGTTGTTCTCTTTAAAGTGCCTAGTCAAAATTATGGCTCTGTACTATTACTTTTTGAGCTTTGCACATAATAATTTAAATTCTAAATATGATTCTAAAGAAATTACTGTGTTTTTTAGCCAACAAATTTAAATGATGTGATTGCTTGCATATAATTTGGCTTTATTGACAACGTTCTACTTTACTTGTTCCATATCTTATATTCTCTCTGTCTCTCTTTGGTGGTTTGTGTTGACAATTAAGCCAACTAATTTTCCGTAATTTCTAGACATCTTTGATAATGCATCTTAGTTCTTTGTAGATAGGGAGTTGTGTACAGATACGTATTCTAAAGACCCACAGTGGGGTTATGAAAGGGGACAAACGGATGGGCAAAGAATAGTTTCATTGAGTATATTAGGTCATAGTTCTTGGTCCCCTTTTTTTTTTAATTTTTTCTTTTTAGTTAAAGATAACACAAATGGTGTGCTTCTATACCAAAGAGATACTTATTTTCATATTAGAAAAATATTTTTCTTACATGTCACGAAAATTGCAATTTTAAAATGTATAAAAATAAACTTGTTCAAAGCAAATTTTATTTCCATTTCTTTGGGTTCATTATTTTAAAACTTTTTATTGAAATATTTCGAACATAACAGGAAAAGTGAATGATTAAAGAATATATCCCTACCATACAGATTTAATAAATATTAGCATTTGGGGCAGCTGGGTGGCTCAGTCTGTTAAGCGTCCAGACTTCAGCTCATGTCTTGATCTCACAGTTCGTGGATTTGAGCCCCGCATCGGGCTCTGTGTGGACAGCACAGATCTTTGGCTCTTCTGTCCCTCTCTCTCTCTCTGCCCCTCCCCCGCTTTTGCTTTCTCTCTCAAGAATAAATAAACATTTAAAAAAATAAATAAATGTTAGCATTTGGCTATACTTTCTTCAGATCTATGTTTGTAAATGTCAGATACATTTGAAACTTTTCCTACCTCTTTGATCCCACCCCTTCTCTCCCCAGAGGTAACCATTGTCTTGGAGGTGGTGTATATTCTAGTTTGTGTTTTTATGTTTTTAATACATGTGTATGTTTTCAAAGCACTACAAAATACTTTTTTGTGTATGTGGTAGCTAGCCTCCAGATGGCCACAATGGTCACCCTCCTGGTATTCATGCCCTTGTATAGTCTCACATGTTGAATAGTGCTGACTTTAATAACTACTAGGAGATTGAAGAAATGCAGTGTGTGATTTCTGAGGCCATACCTTTGTCCATTTTTCTATTAGGTTTTGTCTTTTCCTTATCAATTTGTAGGTGTTCCATATATTGAATACTAACTAATGACCTGTTCTCTGTGTTTCAACTACCTATTGTAGCTTGTGGTTTATCTTTGTATTTGAGTGTGGAGTTTTCTTAAATAAAGGCTTTTAATTTTAATGGAATCTTACCAATTTCTCATAATAGTGCTTTCTGGGGCTTGTATAGGAAATGTCATAAAGATACTCTCCTTTATGTCTTTCCAAAAGTTAAATTTTTGTTTTTAATGTTGAGGTGTTTATTCGTCTGATTAACTTTTGCTTATGGTGCGATTTTGGGATCTTGTTTATTTTTGTATGTCTGTTGCTGTTCCTTCAAGTATCAGTATTTCAAATGCTACGTCTCTCATTCAATTACCCTGTAAGTGTTTGGTTCTGAGCTCCATATTGTATTCTGATTTATTTGCTTAGCCCTATGCTAAGGTCCCCTATAACTTTTTCTGTTATAGCTGTATCATAAGTTTGATCTGTACTACTTTGATTTTTGTGTGTGTGACTTCCTCTCCCCACCATGTATGTTTTTATGATAGAAAAGAAGAACCATCTTAGTTGATTTATAATTTTGTTGAATTGTAGTCAGCTTAGGTTAACCCCTGATTTCAGGAGGTGAGGCTTCTGTGGACACTTTCCGTTCATTCCTCATCACTAAAACTCATAGCTGCTAGTGTCAGGAGTCTGGTATCCCCACAGCTCAGCTCTGTTGACAGTTTTTGTTGTCATGTGTGGCCCACAGAGAAGTTCATCTTATTTTTAACAGTGGCTTTTTAAAAAAGCATCCCTTTTTGTATTTCTTTTTGCTCTGCTTCATGGCAGGGGTTGGGGAAGAGCTCAAAACATAAACATTTACTTAAAGACTTAAGAAATTGTTTTCTTAACTAAGTAGCTCATTACCAGTTCTATATACACCTTAGAGGAAAACTCAGTATTTTGATGTAATTAAAAGCCTCAAGAGGTTGGGGTGCCTCGGTGGCTCAGTCAGTCGCTGGAGTATCTGACTGTTGATTTCAGCTTGGGTCATGATCCCATGATCCTGCTCAGCACAGAGCCTGCTTGGGATTCATTCTCTCTCTCTCTCTCTCTCTCTCTCTCTCCCTCTCTCCCCTTTTGCCCCCCTCTGTCGTTTGTGCTCTCTCTCTTAAAAAAAAAAAAAGGCCTCAAGAGGGTAAAAGTCACTGTAATGAAATTTTTAGTATTACAAATAATGTGTTTCAAAAATTCTGAGTTAGGCACTATGCTAGGAGATTTATAAGCGTTATTTAATATTAACTTTTGAGGAAAGTGATGTTGTTTCTGTCTGTAGAGACAGAATAGGAAGTAAGCTGAGATGAAATTTGCCTGTGGGTCTCTTACACCAAAATTAGTATTCTCTCTCTCTCTCTCTCTCTCTCTCTCTCTCTCTCTCTCTCTGCCCCTCCCTCGCTTGTGTGGTCTCTCTCAAAATAAATAAATAAAAACAAACAAAAAGTTTGTTTTTGAGAGAGAGAGGGAGACAGAATCCCAAGCAGGCCCTGTACTGTCAGCACACAGCCCGATGCGGGGCCCGAACCCACAAACCATGAAAGCATGACCTGAGTTGAAATCAAGAGTCAGTGCTTACCTGACTGAGTCACCCAAGAGCCCATAGATTAATTTTTTGAGAGCTCTAAATATGGATAAAAATCACTTGAACAAATTACAACTGGAGGTATAGAAACTTGTTAGAAGGTTATTGCAAATACGGCAACAATACATGATGTCCACACAAACTAAGGTACTGGAAATTGGGATAAAGCCAAGTGGATAGATTTAAGAGTTGTTTTTTAGGTAGAATAAAGGTAGGGCTGGGTGATTTGATATGATGGATAAAGGAGAAGGAAGAGCTAAAGACTGATTCTAGGATTTCTAGGTTGGGCTTTTGGTACCATTCACTAAGACAGGGTCTCAAAGGACTCTATAGGTTTTTGGAGATTAAGCTGTTGATAAGATAAGGTGTCAGTACAGAGTCTTAGTAAGACAGAGTCCATAATGATGAAGGAGCATAAGGCAAGCTGAGGGCAAAGCTCAAGCTAAGAATAACAATCCCCCGCCCCCAACCTCTCCTACTCACCTGGTGGGATATGTGTGATATTCCTCAGGCACTCTTGGCTGCCCAAGAACAAAGGAAAGGGGGAAACAAATGGTTAACTGATGGAGATCATAGTCCTGCAGGATATGAGTTTCCATTAGTTTATAAAAATAGAATTGCCCTACAACCTAGCAATAGCACTATTAGGAATTTATCCAAAGGATACAGGAGTGCTGATTCATAGGGGCATGTGTACCCCAATGTTTATAGCAGTGCTATCAACAATAGCCAAATTATGGAAAAAGCTCAAATGTCCATCAACTGATGAATGGATAAAGATGTTTTATACATACATATATATATACATATATATATATATACATATATATATACACATACATACATATATGTGTATATATACACATATATATGCTATACATGTGTATACATATATACATTTTCTATATATATATATAATGGAATACTACTTGACAATGAAAAATAATGAAATCTTGCCATTTGCAACAACATGGATGGAACTGGAGGGGATTACACTAAGTGAAATAAGTCAGAGTAAGATACGTTTTCACTCATGTGGGATTTGAGAAATTTAAGACTATTGGGGAAGGGAAAGGGAAAAAATAATTTCAAACAGAGAGGGAGGCAAACCGTAAAAGACTTAAATACAGAGAACAAGCAGGGTTGATGGAGGGACGGTCGGGAGGGAAAAATGGGTGATGGGCATTGAGGAGGACACTTGTTGGGATGAGCAGTGGGTGTTGTATGTAAGCAATGAATCATGGGAATCTACTCCCAAA